CTCCAGTACCGGCCCACACGGCCATGATTCCGGCCTCAGTCCTGGCCCCAGCAGCCATGGTTCCAGCTTCTGTCCTGGCCCCAGCAGCCATGGTTCCGGCCCCAGTTCCGGCCCCAGCAGCCATGGTTCCGGCTCCAGTTTCGGCTCCAGTACTGGCTCCCCGGCCGACGCCAGCCCCCCGTGTTATGTCAGTGGATCGGCCCACTCCAGCCCCTCGTGTCCTGTCGGTGGTCCGGCCCACTCCAGCTCCCCGTGTCCTGTCGACGTACCGGCCGACTCCAGCACCTCATCTCCTGTTGGCTCTCCGGCCGACACCAGCTCCCTGTGTCCTGTCGGCGTTCCGGCCGACTCCTGCTCCCCGTGTCCTGTCGGCGTACAACCCGACACAAGTCCCCTCTCAAGCCCTCTCTCAAGTCCCTACTCAAGTCCCTCCTCTAGTCCCTCCTCTAGTCCCTCCTCTCTCCTCTAGTCTCTCCTCTAGTCCCTTCTCTAGTCCCCTCTCCAGTCCCCTCTCCAGTCCCTTCTCCAGTCCCTTCTCTAGTCCCTTCTCTAGTCCCTTCTCTAGTCCCTTCTCAAGTCCCCTCTCCAGTCCCTACTCAAATCCCTGGTCTCTTCCCAAGTCCCTTCTCTAGTCCCTTTTCTAGTCCCTTTTCTAGTCCCTTCTCTAGTCCCTTTTCTAGTCCCTTCTCTAGTCCCTTCTCTCTTATCTAGTCCCTTCTCTAGTCCCTTTCCAAGTCCCTTCTCCAGTCCCATCTCAAGTTTCTTCTCAAGTCCCTTCTCAAGTCCCATCTCTAGTCCCTTCTCAAGTCCCTTCTCCAGTCCCTTCTCTAGTCCCTTCTCAAGTCCCTTCTCTAGTCCCTTCTCAAGTCCCCTCTCCAGTCCCTACTCAAGTCCCTGCTCTTGTCTCTTCCCAAGTCCCTTCTCAAGTCCCTTCTCAAGTCCCTTCTCTAATCCCCTCTCTAATCCCATCTCGAGTCTCCTCTCGAGTCTCCTCTTGAGTCTCCTCTCGAGTTCCCTCTCGAGTTCCCTCTCAAGTCCCCTCTCAAGTCCCCTTTCAAGTCACCTCTGGAGTCCCCTCTCAAGTCCCTACCCAATGTCCTGGTCCGTTGGAGGTTCCGCTGGGGCCCCTGCCAACTCCATGTCCTGTGCCGTTGGAGGTCCCGCCGACTACTGTTCTGCCGGGGGTCCTGCCAACCCTATGTCCTGTGCCGTTGGAGGTCCCGCCGACTACTCTTCTGCCGGGGGTCCTGCCAACCCTATGTCCTGTGCCGTTGGAGGTCCCGCCGACTACTGTTCTGCCGGGGGTCCTGACAACCCTATGTCCTTTGCCGTTGGAGGTCCCGCCGACTACTGTTCTGCCGGGGGTCCTGCCAACCCTATGTCCTGTCCCGTTGGGGGTTCCGCCGACACCTGCTCCGCCGGATTTCCTGCCAACACCAGATCCTGTCCTGTTGGGGGTCCCGCCGACACCTGCTCCGCCGGGTTTCCTGCCTACACCATGTCCTGTCCTGTTGGGGGTCCCGCCGACACGTGCTCCGCCGGGTTTCCTGCCAACACCATGTCCTGTCCTGTTGGGGGTTCCGCCGACACGTGCTACGCCGGGGGTCCTGCCAGCTCCATGTTCTGTTTCGTTGGGGGCCCTGCCGACACCTATCCCGCCGGGGGTCCTGCCAACTCTGTGTCCTGTTCCGTTGGGGGTCCGGCCGACACCGGGTCCTGCCCGGCCTCCGGAGCTGTCCCGTCAGCGCCTTCCTGCCCGTCCTCCAGACCTGTCCCGTCACCGCCTTCTTGTTCGCCCTCGAGCCCGGCCCCCTGTGTGCCACGGCCTTCGCCCTCGAGCCCGGCTCCCTGAGTGCCGCGGCCTTCACCCGCTAGCCCGGCCCCCTGAGTTCCCCAGCCGCGTCCTTCGCCTTCGAGCCCGGCCTCCTGACTCTTCCAGCCGCAGCCTTCGCTCTCATGCGCGGCCCCCTGAGTTCGCCCGCTGTGGCCTTCGCCCCTTTTTTAACTCTGCCTTGCCCCCGGGCCGTCCGCCCGAGACCCCCTCCTTGATCTCTGCCTTGCCCCCGGGCCATCCGCCCGAGACCCCTTCCGGGTCCTCTGCTGTGCCCCTGGGCTGTCAGCCCAAACCCGTCCTCCAGACCCCCTCCACCCACCCTTTTGGCCCTAGTTATGTGGTGCCTAGTTATGTATTTTAGTTCTGGTTTTTCTGTCTGTCATTATTAGTTCCTTGTTTGTCTGTGACTGTGTTCACGGGGTTGTGTTCTGTTTTGGACAATTTAACCTTGAAATAAAGGTATTTCCCGTAAAATCTGCATTTGGGTCCTGCCTGCTTCACTCAACCCTGACAGGTGAGGCTGAATGTCAATCATAAAGCGATTTAGGGTTATTAAGTTAGTTAGTTTCAGTTCTCAAGAAATGTATTTTCTGGAAAAAGGGAACGCCCCAATGCACTTAAGGGATGAGTTTCACTTTGACACAACCTTAGAAGCACACACAGTACAGTTTGTGATCTGTACTGTGTGTTCAGTGATCAGTTGAAACTCTTATTAAAATAAAAAAAAATGAATAAAAGCAACTGGCCAAATCAATGTTTGTGATGGTTTACAACCGGTTATTCTAAAATACATAACAGAAAATTAAAAGGTTCTCAAAAGTGTTCACTTCTAAATGTTTTTTTCAATAATAAGCCTATTACTGATTAATGTATTTGAGGTTGTGTTTCAGCAGGAGGAGAAATGCTGAATCCATCTGTTTACAATTTACATTTTTTATTAACTGTTGAATTATGAAATGTAATATATGAATTTGTTTATTTAATACTCTTATGCTAATCACTTCCTGTATTCCCGTGATAAAAGGGACATGCGCAATAAAACGTGTCACTTCCGATTGAAGCACAGCTGATGGTGTATGTGTGTATTTATTCCTCTGTCACGTTAAACTATGTTCACGGTATTCCTGCCCTAAGATCATGGCATCGCTAACAGGTTATGGGCCCAGGAGGGACCATGGAAGCCGGTGGAACCGTTTGTGTTTCGACGGAGATGAGAAGAACTACGAGTTATGGGAGACAAAGTTTTTGGGTCACCTGCGACTGCTAGGATTGAAGGCTGCCATCCTAGAGGAGCCAGGTGTAGAGGATGAGGCTGATGATCAGAAAAACGAAGAAGCCTATGCGGAATTGATCCAGGTACTGGACGATAAAAGCCTTTCACTGATCATGAGAGAAGCAGCGGACAATGGAAGAAAAGCGTTACAAATATTGAGGGACCACTACGCTGGGAAAGGGAAACCACGGGTGATCAGCCTCTACACTGAACTAACGTCGCTGCAGAAAGCCGCTAATGAGAGCGTCACTGACTATATTATTCGTGCCGAAACGGCAATTACAGCACTGAGAAATGCTGAAGAGACTCTTAGCGACGGGCTGCTGATAGCCATGATTTTAAAGGGACTGCCAATCTGTTTTAGGCCGTTTGCCATCCACATTACACAAGGGGATGAGAAGCTAACTTTTGGTGAGTTCAAAACAAAGTTGAGGAGCTATGAAAGCACAGAAAAATACAATGCCAACTTGAGTGAGGAATCTGATAATATTATGAAAGCGAGTGGCTGGGTGAAGTGGAGAGATGGCCCCAATATCACCTGCTACAACTGCGGTCAGAAAGGGCACCGGGCTCGTGAGTGTCGAAGTGCGAGTAGCAAAGACCAGAGACAGTGGTGCAGTTTTTGCAAAAGTTCCACACATATAGATGCAAACTGCAGACGCAAAGAGAGAGACAATGCTAAACAAGCAACTGACGTTGAGGACCACTCATTTGTTTTTAAAGTACGTGACAGTCCAGTAACCGGAGTTACACATAAAGGGCTGATGGTCGACACCGGAGCAACGTCACACATAATAACGAACATCGACAAGTTTAAAAGGTTCGATGAGACTTTTCAACCGAAAGACCACTTTGTTGAATTGGCTGACGGGACAAGAACAAGTGGTGTCGCTTTGAAGAAAGGAGAGGCGGAGGTCTGCCTGCAAGACACGGAGGGACGACGAGTGACAGCGATGCTGAAGGACGCGCTCTACATACCGTCCTATCCACAAGACATTTTCTCTGTTAAAGCAGCGACAGCCAACGGAGCATCAGTGAACTTTCGTCAGGGTTGTAACCAGCTGATTCACCAGAGAGGTAAAATATTTGACATCAAGGAATATGATAGACTTTATTTTTTAAACACTGTGGACTGTGAAGCTGAGGACGATGCATGTTATGGATGTTATGACATTCAAACATGGCATGAAATACTTGGTCACTGTAACTATGATGATGTGTCACAACTCATTTCCCTTATTCACTGTAACACTTCCTGTCTGCTTTGTTCGACTCTTTGTTGCTCAATTTCATACCTTTCTTCCTACCACCCTGTACCTTACTTACTTGTATCTTCCTTCCTAACCTTTTTTAAATTATCTCTTACCTTTCTGCCTTTCCTTTCTTCCTTCTTTTCTCCCCTTCTTTGTAACACCTTTCATCCCTACTCTTCTGTTATTGTAATACTCTTTTTATCCATTGATTCCCTTATTATTTATTTATATGTTGCCTCCACTTTTTACAACTGCTTCATTAAAGTTACTTTGGTCCTTGCTGCATATTAAATCATGTTTAGCTTTTCAAACACAAACACAGTACACTTTGTAGAGCTCATTTATTTTGTGTCCAGCAACTAACACAAATACAAAATAAATCCTTCCCTCCAAAGTTCCTGTTCATTCAACTTTCATTTCTCCATTTGTATCCGTCTCCCTTCCTCCCTATGAAAGGTGGTTATCCAAACATAGCACACTTTAGAGGATATTACATTAACTTATTAGGAACTTGTTTTAATATTTACGAGTTAAATGCATTGCCTCTGGCATTTGCGTTTTGGCAATGTGAACATTTAAATATGCATACTCAACAACATCTCTCATTATTTGCAACAAAGCAGAAGGGGCATATCAACGACTTTATAGCAGCTGACCCAAAGCATCAAGAGCAAAACCATCCCAACATTTACAGAACTACAGATTTGAGGAAACAGCTGAATGATGAGGTGAGTATCTGCTTCTGAATTATACATCATTGTAAAAATATTTAATGAGTATCATAAGGATGTATTGAATGTTTTATTGAGTTCAAGGGTCCAAAGTATTAGCAGTATGAATATGAATATATGAATATAAATGTTTCCAAACCTTCTCTATTCTACATTTATTTTTCATTTCCTTTCTCAGAGTTTTAAAGTTTCAAGGCTCAAGGTTTGGGGGAAGAGCTGTGGATTAAGTGAAATGGATAATTTACTATCCGTCTATTCAGTGTTTTTTACTCCCTTCCTTCCTTCCATTCTCAACCCATTCTCCCTTCCTCTACATTAGTTAAACAGTGTGTATTAAAATGTTGCAAACTTCAGAGGCATTTTGTATTAAACTATTCAGGATGTTTTAAAATATTTGTAATTTTGTTATTTTCTATTAGTGCTGCTCAAACACTGGTGTCCAGACTGGAGGCCCTGCAGTGCCACTTCACCTGGGATCTTGACCTCAGCAGGTCCTTACTTTTACCTTGTAGGGACAACTTGTTAGACATTGGTACTGAGAATGGAAACAGATGGCTGGGTCACATCTACAACCTGCAAGGGTTCATTCAGTACAGGCTGGGCTTCAGTGGAGATGCCCAAAGTTTCTTCAACACGGCTAAACAGGCTTTCAGCCAGATAAAAAACGCAGATGAGGGCCCCTGGTTAGTGGTGAACTACGGGAACCTGGCTTGGCTGCACCACTCCCTTGGAGACCAAGCAGAGAGTGAGGCCTACCTGTCAAAGGTCGATGCCCTGAATACAAAATACCCATCTTCATCCCAGACGGAGCTCCACCCTGAGATCTACGCTGATAAAGCCTATACGCTGATGACGTTTAACGGCGACATAAACCTTGTTGCAGATTACTTCCAGAGAGCCATCGAGATGCAGCCAGGCATACGAGAGTGGAACAGCTGGCATGTCTTAGCGTTATTGTATGCTTCTAAGCACAGCAGGACAGGGCTGGAAGATGACATCTTTGAGAAAATGAGAATTGCCCAAGAACAGGATCCAGAGAACTTGTACCTTGCTGCTCACTACCTTTGTCAACGTGCTATGAGAGGAGAAAGTATTGAAGATGAAGCACGTGAGTTAGCCACAAAGGTTTTGAGAAGTCCTGTCAGCAGCTACAGTGGTTTAAAACCATTGCTATGGGTTTACAGAAAGTATATATCTGTTGATGAGGCCATCGTTTTGGCAGAGGAGGTTCTGAAGAACCATCCAGATGAGCGTTATCTGAAGAGACGTGCTGCTCTCTGCTACTACGAAAAGAGGGTCTTTTGCAGTGAGGGTCCCCCAAAGAAAAGCATGCTAGACAGAGCAGTCAGTCTCCATCAGGAGGTGATTGCTCTTTACCCTCATTCGTCACTTATGAGGAAAATACACCTTGCCACGATATACGCACAGTCACATGATGGTAAGGCTAAAGCCGTGCGGATATATCAGGAACTGCTAAAAAGTTATCTGGAAATTGCAGGCCAACAGGTGCTTTTCAACAGCTACGCAAAATATCTACATTTACAAAAACAGGATCGCAAAATGTCAATACGATGTCACATGAAGGCAGCAGCGATACCGCACCAATCCGTCTTTCGTAAGGACAGTATTAAAGTTCTGGAGAAGATCAGGGACAGAGGCAGGGATAGAATGTGTGGAGAAATAAGGAAGTGTCTGGCAAACCTGCAAGAGCCGTAGTGTTCTTAACAGCACAGGGAGAACAATCAGAAAAAAACATAGGTATTGCATTCCCTAAAAATAATCTGTACATACTTATTGATTGAGCTGTGTACTTTAAAGGCAGTTTTAACAAGTGTCTGCACATGAGTAGTAGACAGAGGCTGTTTAAAGATATATCTAAAAGCTTATACTTATACACTGGAAAACTGTCAGCAGTAGTACACTCGATTTAGGAAACAAGCCAAATCCTTTATAACACTGGTTGTTGACATGTTGTTTTCCTTAAACTATGTGTATGTTTTTTCCATGTGCACTGTTCTTTCTAGCTCAAATACTCTATAACCTATGAAATGTGATTTGTTGTAAGCTTTTATTCGTGCAATATACAAATGTGTGATTGGTATTGCAATATATGATGGATGTTTAGCCTCAATATTATTGCATGATGCAACTGATTGTATGTCAAGAGTGCCTCTATATTGTAAAAAACAATAAAAAGGCATTATGCAAACCTATATTTGTTTTTGGTTGCTTTAGGGTTAATACATGCATATTCTCTTCACATAATTTAGCAGTACTGCACACAAGGTGCTTAAATGTTCCACTTTGAAGTCAACAAGGATGAGCAATAAACAAAAGAGCTGTATAAGAATTTCCCCAAGGGATAAGGGGCGCAGAAAGACACTGCTTCTGTAAAAGACGATGAGTTTTTATGTTAAAATAAGTGTTTGTTTTTTTAGTCCAGCAGTACCCTGTCAACAGGATGTGGTATCCAAACAGTAACCTGGTTACAGCAGTAGATGGCAGCAGCAGAGCAGCATGGTGCAGGTGTCTCCAACAGCTCTTCATTCTGACACTGCAGACAGCTGCTGCTCATTATCTAACTGAGTAGAAAATAACGTGCATTAAAACTTAACTTTTCCATTTGATATGAACTCATTTACATATCACCATGCACTGTCTCTTTCTATGAATCCTATATGTGTCACAGGGAAAGGGAATCAGGACCCAAATGCATAATGAAAGAGGCAGGTATACAAGTATAAACAAAAAGCAAGCTTTAATAACCAAAGCTGTTCCAAATAAATAAATAAAAAATGGAGGGTTAGGCAAGGTCAACAAAAGAAAAGTAACTAACAAAAACGAGTAACAAACCGGGTAGACTTGGAGGACATAGGAGGGCAGACGAGGGAAATCCAGAAGAATACAGAGAGGGAACAGGAACCAAACTATGGAAACAATGACGAAGAACTGACAGAGAACACGAGGGAAAACAGGCATGTATACACAAAAGACTAATCACCAAGACAACAGCTGGGGAGGGCATGCACAACCCAAGGTGTAGCACGTGTAAAGAATTGCACAACAGAGGTGGAAAAAGTACTCAGTTCTTGTACTTAAGTAAAAGCAGAAGAATCAGAGTGTAGGAATACTCTTTTACAAGTTCATGTCCTGCAATCAAAATGTTCCTCAAGTAAAGGTACAAAATAATTAGCCTCAAAATATACTTAACGTACAAAAAGTAAAGTACTTAATATGCAGATTGGCCCATTTCAGAATAATATATAATATGTTTTGATTATAATTATTGATGTATTAAAGTGTTCTCAAAGCTGGTAAAGGTGCAGCTAGTTTGAATGACTTTGTATACTGCAGGGTAGCTTGTGAATTTACTCCAGGTGTAACTAAAGTTAAGTGTTGATTATATTTCACATCATTAAATACATTTAGTGGAGTAAAAGTACACAATTGACCTCTGAAATTGTAATGGAGTAGAAGTACAGAGTAGCATAACATGAAAACAGTCAAGTGAAGTACCTCAAAATGAAAACAGTCAAGTAAAGTACCTCAAAATGGTATATTAGTACAGTACTTGAGTAGATGTACTTATTTACTTCCCACCTCTGTTGGACAATCAAATGGGAGGGAAAGCAGAGACAGGAAGTAAAACAAGACACAAGGACAAAATAATACAAATTAAGATCATGATAATAGACCTGTAGGCTATACAGTATGTTGGCCAAGTTTAGTCAAATGTAAACTTCCAAGATATATTAATAGCAGACTACAGCCACCAGGGAGACAAGCTAGTCATTTGTAACTTCCTGCTGTATACAGACAACACTGATTCTTGGCATAAAGCAATTTGTTCCCACTATAAAGACCACAAGAAGAGAGGAATATGTAGTGGCAGACTCTTGGAGATGACGACAGAGACAACAGCTGACGGTAAATGCTTACCATAACGGAACAATCATGTTCCAAAGGAGCCAGGCCAGTCTGACCTTAATCCAAGAAGATTTCAATATTATTAAGGCATTAACAAAGACACAAAACACGGAGAAAGCTAGCAGCGTTGAGGAGCAGGAGCTGCATCCTGAAGACAAGCTGCAGGGCACAGTGACCCTTCTCAGAGAGAGTCTATCTCTACTTGTTTTATTAATGTATGAATTGAATGCATTTTTTTCTTATGCTCAGAATTGTGTTTGTTTCAAATATGTATTTGTGTATGGATGTTGATGCAATTACACAGAGCTTTGGCAATACTGTATGTAATTATGGTCATGCTAATAAAGCTATTTAATTGAATTGAATTGATAGAGCTCGCACCTAGACGGGCATTGTTGTTTTTAGCTTCTGGTGCTAGCTGTGCTAACAGATATGAAACACTGTTGCTAGAACAAGGTGGAGGAGCTCTCCTGTCAGACTGAGAGGCTGATAACTACAGCTCAGGTGAAGTAAAGGACTCTCTGAGTGTTTAGTTAACTTTAGTCTAAGATCTAGTCTCTAGTTATTTAGCGCTCAAAGTGCACCAGATTGAAACATTTTACTTTCATACGATACTAAATACATCCGAACCCTTTTGTATGTTATAACCTATTAGTAGAGTTTTCATTCTTCTAGTGTGTATTCCTTGGATACAGTGGCGAGCCGTCAGGGCCCTCTAGGCCCTCTCTAAAAAAAAAAAATGACAGTACAATTGACCTATCATATCTTCCCTCTAAATGGGTGGGCTTTATTTTTGGCGGACTTTATGACAAGTTCCGCCCGCTGTGAAGTCTATGCAAGTGGTGCAGTGACGCGTCCTAAGTGAAGCTGCGCATAGGTTCCCTCGATAAAAAAGCAATGGGATTTCTCCATAGGGTTTTGGAAAATAGCTCGAAATAAGGTCTGTGGAACGAACCTGTTAGATAAATGCACGTTTTGTTCAGCCGGATAATATCCACATGTCTACCCTACTTTTATTATTTTCGAATCATAAATCTAATCGATAGATTTATGATCGATAGATTTATGATTAGCATGATATTCCGCTGAAGTATACGCTGTGACGTAATAACTCTTCTTTTTTTTCTCTTTTTTTTCGAGGGAAGGGGTGGGGGTCAGAGGACCCAGGTATAAAAGTCACGGCTCACCACTGCTTGGATACCCTATTGATCTTTACTTTTCTACTGTACGATTTTCAGGCTGGGGTGGGGGGCACCAGCTAAACTCTTGCCTAGGGCAGCAAATTGGTCAGAGCCGGCCCTGATCATAACAGTTATTTTATACTAAAAGTGTGTCCCTCAACATGCACGCAACCCTGTGACGGAATCATATTTAGCTTGGCAGAGGAAGAGAAAACTGTAAGTCAAATGACACAGAGGAAATTACGTTATCAAGCCATGTGCATGTGTAGACCAAAGATAAGTCCTCTTTTTTATTTGTCATATTTTTCATATTATTTCAGTCTAGAAGGCGTCTGGCACTCTAGTCTAACCTACTCATCCCTGTTACTCTTTTTATCTGAATCAAACGGATTCAATTTAAAGTTATAGTGCATATCGAGCAAAGCGGTCCACTGAGGATGCAATCTCCTCTGCTCTCCATACAGCCCTCACCCACTTGGACACTAACAACTCTTATGTGAGGATGCTGTTCATAGACTTTATCTCAGCATTCAACACCATCATCCCCCAGCAGCCTGGGCCTCAGCCCCTTTCTCTGTGACTGGCTGCTGGACTTCCTCACTGCCAGACCCCAATCTGTACGGGTCGGCAACAACACATCAGGAGCCATCACACTGAGTACGGGGGCCCCCCAGAGGATGTGTGCTCAGCCCCCTGCTCTTCACCCTGCTGACCCACGACTGCACACAGCTCCAACCACTTCATCACGTTTGCGGATGACACAACCGTGGTGGGTCTCATCAGCAACAACAACGAGACCCACTACAGGAGGGAGGTGAAGCAGCTGGCCACGTGGTGCATAGATAACAATCTCTTTCTCAATGTGGGGAAAACAAAAGAGAGTGTGGTCGACTTCAGGAGAAACGACACCCAACACCCCCACCCACTGACCATTGGTGGTGCTGCTGTGGAGCAGGTGAGCTGCACCAAATTCCTGGGGGTGCACATCACCGGGGACCTCTCCTGGAGTAACAACACCGAGTCAATCACCAAGACAGCCCAGCAGCGCCTCTACTTCGTCCGAAAACTGAACAGAGCCCCCCCCCATCATGCTCTCCTTCTACCGAGGCGCCATCGAGAGCATCTTCAGCGGTTGCATCACGGTGTGGTTCGGAAGCTGCACAGCATCCAATCGCAAGACCCTGCAGCCAAGGGTGTAACTTTGGTTTGAGAAGTGGGAGGGACACAAAACAGGGGGTCCTCCGCAATGAAAAATGTTCTCAATTTAATTTAATTTCCTGCCTTTCTACAAATATATTAGGGACTATAGTGTTAACAAATCCAAGAAAAATGTGTAGTGTATATAATGAGTGTGCACACTTATCTAGTATCCTATCCATGTGAACCTGTTTTATTTGTGATGACCTCACATCCTCTAGGGGGGTCCCGGGGCATGCACCCCGGGAAGATTTGTTTTCTTTAAATCGAAGCTAAATGCATCAATCTGGTGCACAAATGAAGAGATGTATGGATACAGTTCTCAACACTCATATAAAACAGAACTGTATATATTTTAATACTCCAAAAAACATTAGAATATGCTCACAAGCAATAACAAATCATTGATAA